CATGAGATACACAACTCTTAATATTATTATACAAATTCTGGACTACAGTTAAAAACCTTCCTTCGATTCCATAACATTTAATTAGCTTGTGCCATAGACCAGCTCTCCAGACAGAGTCAAACGCAACCGAATAATCTACGAATCCACAATAAAGTTTTTGCTTCTTAGTCAAAAGAATATCAATCAAGCATTTCAAAACGAAGATCTGATCAGTTGTGGAATGAAACTTCCGAAATCCACACTGATTAATATTTAACAATTCCATTGAATTTACGAAGTCAGTCAGTCTTACATTTAACACATGAGTGAATAATTTAGCACACCGGCTTCACAATGTTATACCTCTATATTTTTTGGGATCGTTCAGATAACCCTTTATTGAAAATTGGTTTAATAATTCCTTTCAACCAGTCACCAGGCATAACTCGACATGTTAACACTGTATTAAACAATTACACCCATATGTCAATCAATAATGATTAACTGTACTTAATATACTCATTTAATATTTTATCCATATCTGAAGACTTGCCATTCTTCAAGGATTTGATAGCTGAATAAAGGGGACATGCCATTAAGAGGCCATTCTCTGACTTAGTCATTTTTTCAAAAGTGTGAAAATAAAAAAATTCATGAAAAGTTCTTGAAATATTCTGAATAACAAGTTGAATATATATATTTAATGATGGCACAAGCAAAAGTCTGAAAATTAACATGAAATGAAGGGTTTTGACAGATGCAAAAGATGGTAGATTTGTGATGAAGAAATAGAGGTTTTTGCAGTGACAACACAATTACCTCGAAGTTATCCATTATGAGAGGCTGAGGACTAAACTTGACATAATTTTCAATCTCAGATTATCAGTAGTATCTAACTTAAGCCGGACAGCCACTCAAAATGTATATGGAGCCCATAAGATTCATTTTTCTCAATTGAAGTCACTATTTCTGTTTTTAGCTTCAGAGGATATGAGGTACATGAACATGCTAAGTTTACCTAGATCACAAGCCTTACCACAAATATAAAGTATATAGGAATAGAGTTGATATGTGTGAAAACCTTAAACTTCCCATTTTATTGGGGATGGAACTTGTGGACCATGTGTATTTCTAACTTCTTCACATCTGCATGGATCTAAAATTGTGGCAGCCATCTTGGATTTGTCATATATGTGGACATGGTTTTGGTTGTGCTGAATTTGTTTCAAAATAACATTTCTTGTATACCTTCGATAAGTGAGATAGGCATTTGAAATTAAATACAGATAGTATACTTGACATTTAATGCAGTAAACAGTAATACAATTCATTCTTACATAATAAGTGAGTCCAGATAAAAAGTTGTTATTGTGTTAGTTTAACTGGGCATAAATTACACTCATTGGCCTTGGTTTTCTTAATTGGCTTTTGTTCTGTTTATTCAGAAAAGGAGTAAAGTTCAATATACAAGTTCACATTCGTTCCATCCTTGTAGAAATGAATCTCATATTATTTCATCTCAAATATAGAACACAAAAATATAATAAAAAACAAGTTTCTATTAATTGCAAAAGTTAGCTTCTATGTTCTGACTGAGTTTGGGTTCCGCTTCTAGGGAAAAATATCTATCTGGAAATATCGTATTGACCATTGCTATACACTCCATATTTAATCCTCCCAGTAAATAACATTGATATACAGTATACAAGTATATATGACATCGAGGATCTGGGGTTTGGGTAATGTGAGACATGAGTCCACTTGTCTTTTTGAATCTCATATTCAATATTATTTCTTTAAACCCTCATATTTAATATTTTTGGAGTGGTAATTCAATTATGTACCTATTTTTTATTCTTTATCCCATAGTTGAACTCTGTTCCGCTCTGTTAGGTAACATGAAAACATATTTGTGATATTTTGCAAATGCGTGGAAAAAGTGATATCTGTGGAATACGAAAAATATTTCACAGATATCACCTTTTTGCAGGGGTTTGAAAACTACCACCAATATGATGTGTTTTGTTACATAGTGATTTCATGACATCACGGGGATGAATGGATGTTGTTTTGATATGCTTTGTTTCGTTTTAGAGGTGAACTATGGGAAAAATAGAACATCCTATGAATTTTCGTGATATTGTGTTAATCCAACTCATTGATATCAATATCTGCGCTAATTCGCTATTCTAACTTGGCAAGATATTGATATCAACTCGGAGATAAAGATAAAATCATTTAAAATCATATAATATCCTATACATATCCTTTACTGTGCCACAACTTTCTCATATGTTATATATTTTGGCACAGGCCATCATTTATTTTCCTTGAATTCATGCTTTTGTTCCTCGTTTTAGAAATGAGAGGAAATCTTTGATTTTCCTTGTATTTAAGTTGCTTAAATGTTGCCCTGTGATGTTGATAAAAGTCAATAGTAATCCATTACAGTCACAGTTGAAATGTACCCATTGCTAGCCCAGAACCTACCAAAATAGAATTTGCATTTTGTCAATATTGCCCTTTGTGCTTTTCCATGAAAATAATTTTAATCGTATCTTTTCTTCAGTATTTCATATATTACATTTTAATATATTTAAATTGGTTAATATTTATATACTATTTACTTAGACAACAATAAATAAAGAATTTTTTGTAAAAACACCAAAAATGGTATATGATCTTTAAATGACTGTTGTGTGAACATCAAAGGTCAAAATTCGCTGAAATTGTATTTTTATAAAGCACAATGATTTTTCTTCAATATGATATGCATTATTATCAGATATCTTTGGGGGCTAAAAAGGGCCCTTAATGACACCCGTCCTTTCATCAGCTGTGATGCCACAATTAAGAAATTTAATATTCAAGTCATAAGCAAAGCCTGTCTCATACTGAGAAGGCATGTCTTCTGGTATCTCATGTGATGCATCAGATGAGTACAAGCTTTCAAAATGGTCCCTTAAGAGATCAAGGTTGACTTCATTGAATTCTTTTTTTTGACTTTCGATTTAAAATCTTCCAATACCTTTTACTATCATTCTTTTTAAGATTCAATATTTTTTTGTTAAAGTGCCTCTTGTACTCTTTCTGAGCTTTGATGCGTTGCTTTTTGTATTGTTTGTTTTTACGTACCATGTCTTGCTTATATAGTTCATTTTTGGTCCTAAGATACCTATTTTTAGCATTATGATATGATCTCCTTTTTAGATGACATGTTTTATCATACCATTTATTAACATTTTTACCATTTTTAAAACCGCCATTTTACATGTTTTTACTGATAACCCTGATTTATCAGCAGCAGACAAAATACATCCATTTAGCTTTACATTGAAATCTTCAACAGATGTTGATGGATCATCTAACAGTACATTTAGTTACTTTATAACTTCGGTATCTAAATTTGTTTGAAAATCATCAGCCTTATCGTTAAATTAGATTATATTTATAATGATTGTCATTAGCCACAAATGAGATATTCTGATCATTACAGATTAAAGTTTGATTCTTACATGCCATAGACAAGTTAATGAAGCAATGAACGTCAGAATAATCTTGGTTAAATTGTTCTATCTCAACAACTTTCAGATCTGGTGAGCATATTAGACCTGTTAATAATATAATATAGTCTGTTACAGAACTTTTCATTTAAAACATGTAATATTTTCACTATTCTTTCCAAATCTCCCATTAGCAATAAATAAATTATTTGCTTTACACAGTATCAGTTTATATTCCCAAAATTATTCACTCTGTGTGAGTCATGTGCACCCGCAAGTGATATGCAATACTGTATAAGTGGTATTTAATCCGAGTTGGTAATTTTCCGAATGGTCAAATTTCATCATTTTCCTAATTTTAATTTTCCTAATGACAAAAAACCTCCCATTGGATAACATTATAAAGACAATATTTCCGACATTTAGTTTTCCGAACCTAGCAAAAATTAGGAAATAGGCAAATTAAATGATTAGGCAAAATTACCACTTATACAGTATTCGTTTCGGATTATGACCTATATTTGTATCGTGTTTAACACGTAACACATGGTATGGGTCATTGCAACACTGATTTTAAATAAAAAAAATTAGCACATGATTATTGCTGCCATTTTGAATGTTGACTAGACTATTGCTGAATAATTATTGTAGAAAGTGCATTCATAAAAGTTTAACTATGCTTAACCCATACTTTTAACTCTGAAAACTATTACCAGATCGACGTAGTCTTACATGACATGTTGAATGTCAGATGTTTTTGGATGATATCTGCTCAAGTGATTTTACATTTAATAATGAAACGCTCATCATAAGACACCTCAGAACAAACAATATCCTCTTTGTGAGAAGATGAAAATTGTTTTGCAATATGTTCTGCCCTACGGCAAAGTAAAGATACATTTCTTTGACTTTTTATTCATCTCAAGATTTCAGAAAAACAATTAATTAAAAAACAGTTGAATAACATACTAGAAAACGTGTCTACATGTAACACAATTTCAACTTAACTACACCCTTTCCTTTTAAACGTTGTCACGTGGTAGGGTAGCGTGAATACACCCTCAGAAATATATACAGGAATTGCAATAAACATCATTCAATATTTGTATAGTATTAACCTTGAATGTAAAAATTATTGCCTCGAAATTTGACACATATATCGATGTATTCATCTGCCATTCATACATGTACGTTGATTAAACCACATTTTTGGTATTTAGATATTTCATAACAATGCTGTTACTAAATAAAACTATCCAATACTCTGGCGGTACTAACGATTATGTATTAACAAATACGTCTGATAATTTACCTTAATTAACTGAACTTTAATGAATAGCTTACATGATAATTCTAACTGTAAGGTGTCTATCATTGGAGCAAATGGGGAAAGTGGAGTCCATGTCCAGCAAGTGGAACGTGTGAATTGCAAATTCGCGACAGAATATGCTTAAAAGATGGCGTGGCGTAGCCACAGTGTATAAAGAATAGCTTACATGATATTATTCTAACTATAAGGTGTCTATCATTGGAGCAAATGGGGAAAGTGGAGTCCATGTCCAGCAAGTGGAAAGTGTGGATTGCAAATTCGCGACAGAATGTGCTTAAAAGATGGCGTGGTGGTAGCGGAAGATGCAAAGTGTGTGGGATTACCAATCGAACAAGAGTGGTGTCCATGTGATGGTATGATAGCACATATGCACGTCTATGTTTTTACATTTCTAGTTGTTGATTTTCTAATGCCCTAGAATGAATTTGACGGGGTACAGTTACTACGGTACTAACGATTATGCAAATATGTTTACAATGAATATGTACATACGCACGTTCCAAGGGGAAATCACTAAAAAGAGTTTCTTTCACGGGAGTTTGAAATCTTTGCACAGTTCGGAGGCCTCATTATCAGTTAGTCGCAAACTACGTGCGTTGCGTCTGTGTTGCGACAGCGATCGCAGAACGCAACGCTTGAGTTGCGTGTTATTTTCAGTTGAGGGCAATCGCAGACGCAAAGCAAACGCAAAACAATGGAAACGCAAAGTAGCGAACACAAGTTTAAAGTGTACTCTGGCGGGAAGAAATCGTCCAATTATAAATACACATACTATCACCAAATATATATGTGATTGTCTGTTCGGTTTTTCCATTCTTGTATCGTTGATTCAACTAAGACGTATTCCAAACGAACGTGTTGTTCGTTGATAATGACCAGAGGAAGACATGTCTGGTTTCATGGTTACAGACTGCTAGAACAAAAATGCTTCAAAATAGTAGTTTACAAAGTTACCTTTCTCGATGTACATGTATAATGTAAAATTCAAAAAGGGTCTTTACAAATATGTTTGCACGGATTTCGAAATAGTCTTGTTATTAATAGTATTTGTCATTTCCGTGTCTTCCTGGCTAATTTTTCTGAATTCCGGGATTTATCCCTGCATGTTGAATTACTCATATCAGGAGAAGCCACACGTTCGTCTGTCCGTCCATCCGTCCATTATATAATTCAATTAATACTACTGATTCAAATATCAAGTATTTCTTTTTATCATCATCATCACGCCTGGAGGTCGGAAAAAGGGAACGGGGGGGGGGGGGGTCGTATTTGATTTATGCTAGAAAATGCAACAAATCTGCAAGTTTTATTTTTCACGAAAAAGTTAAATCGAATAAATCACAAAATGAATAGTACATGGTATGATAATCATTAAGGGCTTCTATGATTTTTTCTTAACTGATACGCTTCAAGGGTTTGAGATTTTTTAGAAAGGCGCAACGTCACCATGGTGCAAAACTCAACATTTTTGTTGTTAATAAATGCATTTAGATGGAGAAATCATTACTATCATGATTTTTCACAATCACCCCTCCCCCCTCCATTCCTTTCACTCCCCCTTTGATTATTTCTTGTACTCTTTTATTAGTGTATTTAAAAAACGTTGCGCCTTTTTAAATAGATTTTCATACTCTTAGAAGTGAATCAGTTTAGAAAAATGGGACACCTTGCAGGTTTAATATACCATGGACATATTCATGATCAATTATCGATTAATTTGTAATCTACGTGTGCGTACGTGTACATACGTGTACATCCGTATGTGTTTAGAACAGGAAATGTTATATTTGGTGTCAACTGGAATCATTATACTCAATGTGATTGAAGGTATATAACAGAAATTATTGATGATTATCATAGTACCCCCCTCATAAAATTAGCCAAGGGGGGGGGGGGGGTAGAAATGGCAATAATTCGCAGATCCTTGAAAACTAGACCCTATTATTTTCAAAATCAACGAGAAATGATATATTCAAAATGATTAACATAATTAGAAAAATGCAATCCTGTAAGCAAAAACATGGACCAAGCTCATCCAGTACCTTATAAGTCAAAATAAAAAAACGAGTCATAGATGGGCAGAATAATGGTATACGAGACAATAACAAAATGGAAGTGAATAAAAATTCAGTTTTCAGGGTTATTTTGATATTTCAATAACAATAAATAGTCCATTTGTCACCCCTATACATACTATAGTGAACCTATGAATTGTTAAAAACACGATGTTTTATGGTTAATTTATAATAACAAGGGTTTTCTGAAGTGATTTAACTGGGTTGGACAAAAAGTTAGTTTGGGGAAAAAGGTATATCGGCTAATTAGGGAGGGGTGCATTGGCTTAACATGGCGTTGACTATTGACTTAGCGTCGGGATACCATCATGTACCTGGTATGTTACCATGGTGATAGATACAAAAATTTTCCCCAACATTTTTTGGCAACCCAGCTAAATCACTTCAATAAACCCTAATGATAGTATTTGCACAGAAAAACATCATCAGTTGGACGGCACATTGCCTTAACCCATCAGCTTTAAGACGTGCACTTCCGCGTGGGACTATATCTTTACAACGGGATTTTCAAGTTTTTGTCAGTGTAGACATAAAAAGTTGCGGTCCTCTTACTCGCACAGTTTTTAATATTTTCATTTTAAACTTGCAGGAACGGTGCTTTGAATCTAGCTCTCTACTCTTTGAAAACGTCATGTAGAATCAAAACAGTTTAACTATTTATTTTTTGTCGTGAAAATATTATTTTTTAGTTTATTTTTATTTTACAACTTTTTGGGAAAAAATGTAACAAATTTTTATTTCTTGTCATATTTATCCGATATTTTGTCATCGTGAAATTCGAGATTCCTTTTAATGATGGTGCAAATTTCATAACAATTGATGAATTTTTATTATCAGTGTTATGTTTTCCAAAAGCGGTGTACCACTGTGCATGTTTCTTTAATTGACGGCACATTTGCCTTTAATTGGGCGAACGTACAGGTCCCGACGCAATAAGCTTTATTTGATTTAATACACTCAAAAATAAAGTTTGCTATCAAATCAGAATGTTCATAAAACATAAACCTTGCTTTTGTTTTCCCAATTCTAAAAGCAGGCCAAATAAACTATGATAAGCGTTTGACTCTCGAGACTACAGAACTTGAACATACTAAAATCGAAGTTACCTATGGTTACGCTTGTAAAGTTAATTATATGTTTAACGGCGTGCTGAGTGAATGTATCTTATCAAATTTGTGACATACCCATAAAATCGTAGATCACAATTCTAAGTTTAAATGTAATTTGGATTCGTAAGAAGTATTTCTGTTTTAAACTTACCTTTGCTGTCTGAAAAAGATCAATATTCATAGACGGGGATGTTGAAACCTATATTTCCTTTGAATGACCTGCATTTGTACTACGAAATGATTCTGTGGAGAAAAGTTGATGAATTCCAAACAGCTAGTTCTAGCAAATCTACTAGTATAAGCTTACTTTCTAAAAGTATTTCAATGTTAAAAATATCTATTGATATGTTTCATTTTTAAAATGATCTTTTGCTTCCCTTAACTTATGCGTGTGACTTAATGAAGAATGCTGTTTACCACATCAAACTTAAAATGTAAACTTGGCAATTACTCGATACCTGTTATAACGCGATTTTCTTTCATTTTCTACAAAAATGGTATGTTTTCGAAGAGTCACTTATGTTAATCTATGACCATGGTATGATTGAAAATGAAAGAACTGAACCAAGTATTGTCGACTCGGTTGAATCATAAGTTTTATTTTGATTGATTTAACCTCTTCTTGTATTTTAAAACATTTTTTTCCGAATTACATCTACTATGGAATTAAAGTTCAAATATACCTCAGAATTGCTTATTGAATTAACCTAGCAATTAATTTGAAAATAATTCTTTATATAGGTTATATATCATAGATCATAGATAAGTAAAAAATAAAAATGTGTTTTGAAAGATGAATTGGTAACAAACGTTTTCGTACACATGCCATTCTTCACCTTCAGCCCCATTAAAGCACGAAATCCCGTATGACGTAATATAACTAAATGCGCAGATAATTGATATTTTCCTTAATTTTAATTCAACTCACATTGACCTTTCTTATTTAGAACGTGTTTAAAGTTCTCATGTTAAGAAAATAAATATGTGGAAAGGCAATGGTTTAAAGCTTATGAAAATGTCAAAATCATAATTCAGTTTTTAAAATAAGATATTGACATGCATTCACGCACATGTGACATTATCTCTTTTTGTGCGATTCAAGCATAAAAATCTCATTACAGTTATACATATGAACCAATCTTAGCCATGCCTTTCTAATAGAAGGAACTAAATTTGAATCAAAAAATAATTCTGTGTAAAGATGATTCCCCATAGATATAATAAATGTCAAAAATGTCAAAAATATCAAAAATTAAATACTCACACGCTTATAAGCACACTGACCTTTTCCAGTTTTGCTCATTTCATTTACCTTGAAAACCAAGGAGACAGAATGTAATTGCTATATACAACCTTGATACGTGTACCAAGTCTATAATTGCATTTTCTCATGGAAGGAACCAAGCAAAAATTATAAAAATAATTCTGCGTAGAGGTGATGCTTCACAAATAATATGAATGTCAAAAAATTAATTCATTTCTTCAAAATTAAATACTGACATGCATTTACGCACACATGACCTTTTCTAGTTTTGCTTATTTCATTTACCTTGAAAACCAAAGAGACTGGACGCAATTGCCAAATACTTCTTTGATACGCGTGCCAGGTCTATAATTGCATTTTCTCATGGAAGGAACCAAGCAAAAATTATGAAAATAATTCTATGTTAAGGTGATGCTTCACAAATAATATTAATGTCAAAACTTTAATTCATTTCTTCAAATCCAAATACTGACACGCTTTTACGCACACGTGACCTTTTCTCCTTTTGCTCATTTTATTTATCCTAAAAATCAGTGAGCCTTAATACATTGTCCGATACTTCTTTAATACGTCTCGGGTCTAAAATTGCAGTTTATCATGAAAGAAATCGAACAATTATTATAAAAATAATTTTGTGTAAAGGTGATGTTCTTCAAATCATATAAACATCAAAATTGTAATTCATTTAATGAACGTTTAATATCCACATGCTTTACCGCACACATAACCCTTTCCCCTTTTTTCCATTTCATCTCTCTTAAAAATCAGTGAGCCTGAACTCATTGCTAAATAATTTTTGATATGAGTCAGCTGCAGGTCTAAAATTGCATTTTATCACGGAACAAAACGAGCAATCATTATGAAAAAGGTGATGTTCCAAAAACAATATATAGGGTGTCTCAAAAAATGTACCCAAAAGTATATCAACACCATAGACAAACCAATCAATATTTTCAGACATTTTTTGCATGGTCTTGTAGCCAAAAGATGAAAGTTTTTTCCAATTTACACAGTTTTTAATTCAGTTTTGCCTTTTTGATACTTTAACCAATTACCTTTTACACCACATATTCAATGTAACCTCATATTTCGATGACGGTCTGCATCCTTACTACTACATTGTTCATCATATTTGATATTTCTGGTGGATTTTTTTATATCTGTTCGGATGCTGGCAAAAAGACCTAGAACAACATAAGTGCAACATCCAAAGAGAAATCCAAAACATTCCACCGGAATTATTATCAAATGTGATGAACAATGTAGCAGTAAGGATACAGGCTGTCATCGAAATATGAGGTTACATCGATTATGTAGTGTTAAAGGTAAAGGGTTAAAGCATCAAAAAGACAAGACTGAAATAAAAATGGTGTATTGGGGAGAAAACTTTCATGTTTTGGCTACATGACCATGCAAAAAATGTCTGAAAATATTGATTGGTTTATCTGTGCTCTTGATATACTTTTGGGTACATTTTTTGAGACACCCTGTATATGTCAATTTGATAATTCAGTTACTCAAAATGAAATATCCACATGCTTTTACGCACACATGATAATTTTCTGAATGACGCTACTTTTTGGATTCAACCATGCATATAACGTCGTAAAATACACATTTCTACCGAAATTATGCCCAACCGTTTTCGCAGAAAATGTAACAAATGAAGGCATTTTATCGGAACTGATTAATATTTGGTACTTATAAAATATCGTATTTACTTTAACTTTTAAGCGATTCAGACATTTAAAAAAATGATGTTTAATCAATGTTAATTTCGCACGAATATAGGGTACAAAATCAGTGAAAGTCTCACGTGTTTGATTGCATTTTACTCCCATTCATGTGTATTTTTCTAACATTAAAATGAGATAGTTCGAAAGAAGAGATCAGTAGAATTCTATCCGTCACTTTCATTTTCAAATATTTAAATGATTACCATTTCAATGGACCTCATAAAGATGGTAGCCAACGGACCAGAAACAAGTTGTGCGATGACGTCATATATCGCTACACCACTTTGATATAAAGTTTGGTAAACAACAATGGGTTTTTTCAATGTGCCGTCCTACTGCATGTTTTTAAATATTCATACGTTAAGAAAATGACAAATGGACTAAAACCATAAAAAAGATGTGTTCTATTTATTGTTAATCAGTGAGTTTTGCTCTGCAAGGCCTACATACAGTAAACACATGATTACCTATACGAAAAAATAAGTTTTTAAGAACTACTATTCAAAAGTTATGAAGACCTCTGATTTCTCAATATCAGCGAAAATGCAATATTGTAACAATGTGGAAATAATGGGACAAAATGTCGCCTGTTCATATCTGGAGGTTCCCATGCCAGTTACGGGAAATCTTATTGCTATAAAATCCTAAGATGACCTAGTACGGATTGCTCGTTTTTAAATATTCTTGGCGGACAACCATTTAAGATATGTCTCAAATACGACTGATATGTCGTATGTCTAATCAACTCAATGTTCTCACCCCCCTAAGTACTCAAAATCCCAAGGGATTTGGCGATTTAAAAGTATGAAACATTTTAGTTCTCTTCGAGTATCACTTGCAGACTTGTGTACGTCATATTCGCATTAAAAGTAAGAATAAACACGATTTTTGAAAGATTTACAAGCTTAACAAAAAGTATGTTTTAATGATATTATATACATACGATTCAACAAAACTTTTGATGATATTGATGGAGACGTAATCAGGTAATGCGATGATTTCCAAAAACACTACAAAACAACCGCTAAAATATATAAAACGGCACACAAAGATGCACTATATTTGCGTTTTGATTTGCGGCAGGGTAAAAGATATGCAAGTATGTGTTCACTTGCGTTCAAAAAATCTATAATCTTGCGTCAGAACTGCGTTGCGTCATAGTGGTAATATGTTTATTAGGAAATATATGCGATGCGATGCGTTGCGTGGCGTAACGCATGCGATTCTGCGTTGCAACTAACTGATAATCAGGCCTCAGTTCAGTTTATAGTTGTGGGCTCAATTTATAATGGGTTTTTATATGGTATCCACAGTGCCATTACATTAATCATTTCGGTTGATTGATTATCTTTAGTTATTTCTTGCCCATATTTGACACGTAAGTCTAAAAATAGAACATGCGTTAAGCGCCATCTGATCAAGGATTGGCTTTGGATGAGGGGACAGTCATTTTCAAACTGGTGTACAACCGAATATTTTCTCTAGCAGTGATTTGTATTTTCTTTGGTCTATCGTGACCCATGTGCTTGCACATGTTTAATCCTGAAGATTCTGGACACATTCGGCATCAAAAGTTTAACTTTTATGTGATATTCCCTTCTGCCATTATAAATGAGTTTTTTCTGTTATTTAGGTAGAAATACTGGACAAAAAATAAGAAATATGACAGAATTTGCCTTCATGGTGTCATTGTACAAATCTGTCGCTTACAATACGGAGAAAACAGGTCATTTCTGTGGTGGGATAATTATAACAAATACGTGGATACTAACCGCAGCTCATTGTGTTTGCCAACAATATGACCATTGCTGTGATGAGAAGAACAATTATGCATTCAGGTGGTTATTCTTCATGAAATAATGATGAATTACATATATGGTCAAACAATAGGATAGAGTATTCTATTACCCATGAGCAATGTTACTTTCAAAATTATCCGGAAAATGTTTTCTAAGCAAACCAATAGCTTCACGTAAGTGCAATTGCCTTAGTGTTAGACGTGGTCTCCAACTTTTTTTGTGGACGGGCTTAAAACTTCAATTGCAAACAACAAGTACTGTTAAGACTGACTTCAAAATTTTACTGAGACCATTTCTATAAATATGAGTTCAAACACATTTCTGCCACTATCTGTTACCATGGCAACAAAAAAGTTAACTTAACATCCTTTGCGGCATTCGTCGACTGTAACAAATTTTTACAACTTCCAATTACATAACATTTACTGTTCTTCAAATTGGCTTCAAAATTTAACTATGAACATAATGTTATGGGTTCTAGGACATTTCTGCAAATACAGTATATTTTACCATGGCAACAAAGTGAACTTGTTACATTTTGTAACCATTTGCAATAATTTAAGAAGTATTGTTGACATGGACCTGAAATTTTATCGTCAACACATATAGACATGTTACGACTTTAAACATATTTTTGGCAGTATCAGTTACTATGCCAATGAATATATGTTACCATGGAAACATGCTATTTTGTTACTGTTGGAGGTTCCCAGCGTTTGGTTCTGTAACTATTATTACACCTTCGTAACCATTTGTAAACACTAACTTGGTAGTGACATTTTGTTATGTTAATGTATAATCTAATATTTAAAGAGATTCTTCACACACTTTCAGAGTAACGATAAGACACTGTCCCCGTGACAATACAAAGTCACATAGCAAGCATTGCTGCAAGGTTATAGAACTAACTTTGGCATTAATATGATGTTTGCTTTTTTCTGGAATTTTTAGGTATTCTCGATGCAATTTGAGTGACTGGACCGTTTTACTTGGTGGGGAGAATATAAATACCAACATCCGACTGCACCAAAGACAAATGACAATAAAAAGAGTAGTGGTTCACAAAGAATATAAACCTGGTACTACAAATTCTGCCAATGACATTGCATTAATTGAACTTAACGAGCCAATCGATTTTTCGTTATCGCCTGATATTCAACCAGCATGGTTACCAACAAGCATTTGTAATTCATCGAAAACAGAACTTAATTTAATTGGAGACTATGGACGAAAGTGTGTCACTCATTTAGACATTGCTATTCACCAAAATTGCCAGTTAGTTGGCTGGGGAGTGACTCCAGGTAAGTCTATTTTGACAATGAACCGAAGTTCAATACTGAGGTATATTATTACATAGTTCCGTTATCCGTGGGATTTAAAGGATTAACTCCAAGAATCTGTTTAATAACGAAAATAACTTAAACGAAAATAACGAAAATAACGACTCAAGTCAATGTAACAAAAGCGATGGTCTAAATACATGCATTGCAGCTTTATCTAAAAATCAGATTCCAAACCGAGAGCATTTCTCATTGTCTAACTTTATGCCAAATGATAATCCGCAATTTGACATACAAGTAGGTTTAAATCGAGAAAACAAAAAACTCGTATCAAAGAAGTTCATCCATTTTGTTACATTGACGTCCCATCAAAGTAACTAGTTGTGGAACAGTTAAGCTTAATTAATTCAAGGTCAATATACTCAGTACTTTACTGTACTATATGAGAGGTAAATAAAAACATAAAGGACCAGTCCAATTCTATGTGCCATTATAAGCAAAACTTCAATCAGTCCATTGATGAAAATATGTTTTTTATCCCTTCTACTTAATCCAAATTTTACAATTTTTAGGCGAAAAGTAAGGTGGGACTATGGTACTATGCTTTATTTTTAGGCGTGGTTCACGTTCACTAAGAGGCTATATTTTTTAACATTTGCGTGCGTTGTATTTATATTTTCATGATTAAACTTTCTGGCTGATTCCACAAAATAATACTAAAATTGTTTAAATTTTCTTTCTGACTTTTTTATACAACAAAAGCCAAATTGTTTTATTAGATAAAGTATAGCCATGTCATACCCACTCCAGGAGGAAGTGTAAAACTTCTGAAATAGGGAGAAAACCCACAAATTAATAATGCAAATGCGAGTATGTAGTTACCTGTTTGACCACCAGGTGGCTCGCTCGGGTTAGATGATGTAGCATGTTGGGTACAGTAGAAAGTTCCCTTTAACTGAATTTACATCTGTTTTAGTGGTTCAATTTTCATATAGCCATAATATATCGAATAGTCTTGCAAATGAAAGTATGTCCAGTAAAAAAAGTTATGTCCAATACAAGAAAAGATAATTCACTTTTTGTTATTTTGTAATATGGGGTCTATGGGGAATCAACCCGAACTAGAAGTAACATTTTCAAAAAATATTAAATTTTCAAAATTGATAAACAATTTTCGAAACCATATTTTTTGATGTATTTACATGTAGATTTCAAATATGACATCCCTTTGACTGAATTTTGAATATTAAATGACGTAAATCAAGATCATTTCTACTCGCATCTAGTCTATTATGTAACAAATGTAAGCGGCTAAACAGAAAAACTTGGAATACAGTAAAATTTTAAATGTTAATGAGTACTTTGAATTTAAAAAATAAGCAATCAAAGGACCATATTGAAATAGTATATGTAAAAATAGAAACACTTATACATATCCCAGATTTTGTATAATTTTAGTTTGTTTTGTAGTTAAGTTATCATATCTGTGGCTTCTTATATTTTGATGCTTCCCTGCCATGTTATCTTTGAAAAAGTTAACATGGCTTAAACTCCCTAAATTATATAAGAGCCCAAAAGGCCACAGCTTTGCTGCACATTATACATAACTGTCTGAAATAAACAAAAGTTAGGACTATTATATATGTTTCTATTTTTATATACTGTTGCAATATAGTAATTTGTTTGTTTATTTTTCAATTCAAAGTACTTCCAAACATTTAAAATGTTACTCTTGGTCGAGTTATGTAGAGCATCTGGTCGGTTACATCAATGTTTTAAAGGCTATAGGTACACTATTTCACCACCCACTACAATATCTGGCAAAGTCAACAAAAGTGTATGCCGGTGTAAAAGAAATTATGGTCCCCTGGGGATTAAGGTCCCCTTTCCTTGTGGACCTTACTGCCCCTGACTGTGTATACATAATAAGGAAAATAATTGTTATTGGGTCACCATATGAATCAAAAGAGAGTAGGACCAAAGTTCGATAGGACCACCTACCCTTTTACACCTGTCTTAGGATTAATCTCTTCGGGACTATTTAATCTGGTCAATCAACTGTTGTATTAATGATATACATTTCAAGACTTTGTGTCATAGTTCTTGTTAAATGTGATCCACACAAATAAAAGTATCTTGAAATTATTTTGGTAAAATTGTGTTTAGATAATATGTTTTAATGTTGCTATTCTCTAAAGAGTTCACATTTGTGTTTTTTAAATTTGAAACTATTGATTTATCAATTATACGTATAATAAAGTTTTAGTGCTACTGAACTAATGATATATAACCCCTGAAATCTGACTTTCACTCTCCCTGTAAAGCTCATTTTCAGACTCTGATGAGCTTCAAGATCCCCTTAGAGCGAAATAATAGAAATAGTTAGAGAGAAACGCTAATTGCTAGTGATTGGCTGATTTTAGGTTCTAATGGGGAAGCCTCATCAAAGCTACGAGCACTTAACGTTCTAGTCGAAATTAAAAGCGACAAGCTTGAAACTACTGGCGAGGGCGGAGGAATCGCATGTTCGGTTTGGAATTTTATTACTTAAGTTACATATCCACAAAAAGTCAGATAATGGTAAAATAGTTATTTGTAAAAATGTGAAAGATAAAAATGTATGGATACTATTTTTGGCATGTCATGGTCAGGCTCTGTTTTACCACGTGTGTCATGAAAAATGTCCAAATTTTCTTTGCTTGGTAGTTGGTACATCACTGCTGAAAATACAATTTCTTTCATACCATACATTAAACAATGGTCAGAGCAATATCAGGTATATAATAGCAAGTGATAAATCACATATTCGAGACAGTGGCGATATCAGGGATGATATCATGATTAGAGGGATGATATCAGGGATGATATTGATATTATCCGGGTAAATTCATAAATTTTACATTTTTTCAAAGCATTTTCATTTTTCAAAATCTTTTCATTTTTAGAATTAATTCTTTTAAATTTTTTTCATTTTTTCCCGAAGATTTCATACTTTCAATTTTTTGATTTAAAATAATCTAAATTAGTATTATTTTTATGAGCATTATGTTTTTCCTTTTCCTTAAATTCTCATGTACATCAGGATGGGATGATAGGCCCTTATATTCCTAAGAGTCAACCAATTGTTTATCTCATTCAACAGAGGACTTTAAAAGCTACATATTACTTTCGATCATGATATAAGGTCGTTATTCACCTGTTGGATGATTATATTTTACATATCAAATCCCTCCTAGTGAATAACTTCTTTATATAAACCCTTCAAATGGTCTGAACACAATTTTCATCAATCAAAACATAATGTAGTCATCTCCTGGATAAGCAAGATATATCTCCTTGGATGACATACTGCTTAACTGACCCCAGCTTTTTCAAAAGTGTAACGGTATGTCTCAAAACAGAACACAGGAAGAAAGATAAGATATCTATTTGTACAAACTCCAACTATCCCAAACCATAATCGAACGTGAAAATCAGCAATGTCTTAAGCTAGCCATATACCAAAGGGGCGTGATCGAACATCAAGGGAGCTATAGAGTGGACAAGCTCGGGCATTTCCATCGGGTAATAAGGGACATTGTCCGTCGTTGTCCGTTTGTCTCATGTTGTCCGACTTTGTCCGGTCTCCTTGTGTCCCTTTATGTCCCGTGAAAGAATGAAATATGTTAATTCTTTTCAAGGTATATTATCACTTGACGATCATATGATCATTTTTCGACAAAATGGCACTGTACTCCAGACATCATCGGACAAATTGGGACAACGTTTGCTGCAATGGCGGACCCCGGGCAAAATGCCATTTTACGTTTAGTGAATGATATTAGGATTAGTTGTATAGGAGAGGTACTGGTCTATCTGAAAACATTTTCAGGATGAATAAATGATATATTTTCTAATGACAGCAGAGTGATTTAAAGTGTCTCACATATTCGATCAAAATTTGCCATGCAAACATGTTGGTCTACTTTACTGGCCCCCCTTGCTGTAACAAGGAACCCAAAACACATTAAAACGTAAACATAAACCAATTAGTCACTTCACTATGAAAGTGGGGGTGTTAGCGAATGTGTATTAGCAGAATACGCTGTGTGCATGGACTAACACAATATCAGTGGTCATTTACTGTGTCAACTTAGTAACCCTTGCATATCGTGCTCACTCAAGTATTGAATAATTTTTTATGATCTAAATGTTTGTGGTTTATAAAAAAAGTGATATATTTTAGTTAGAAATACATTAATTAATATATTCATTCAAACAGCACTAGAATGCGGGAAGAAAGAGCAATGGTGACAAAATGCGGACAGAATTTTCCGTAAGGGTTTCAAACATTTCTGAACACAATCATACATGTACTTCATGTGTACTGTTATTTTTAGTGCTGTATTTATAGATATAATTTCACGTATTAAAATCATATTTTCCAGCAATGACTTCAAATTCGGAACCACACCCATATCACATTTTCTTCAATAACTCCAAACATGTGTAAACATTGAGCATGTGCATATAAAATCAGATTTCACGAGCTCTTTCCTATTCGAGTACCTCATACACCCCTGCATGGATTTGAGTTGGATTCGCCTTTTATACGTGAGCCGACACACTCGCAAACGCTGATTGGATAAAGATTGCGAGAATCTTTAAGGAGACTACTTATAGCAGGCTAATTTTCATTTGTTTTCAATATCAAGCAGATTCAAGGGGTGATTGTCTTCAAAATTTCGGTGGACAACACATTGTAATATTGCAACAGCAAGCTAGACAAGTCTCTCCCGATCAAAGTGGTATGTTGTACTAAGCGTAAATATTGTCCGTTACTAAGATACAGGGTAAAACGCTTTAATGGTCGCCTATGGGAAACTCTTCTGAAGTCTGCTGAGACAAAACGGACAAAGGGACAAAGTCAGACAATATCCCACTGGTGTGCGGCTAGCTTTACACCTTCCTCCACCATCATTCAACTTCCATAGCAATATGTTTTATTTGTAAAAAGTTATATAGCACGTCAATAAAGTTAAAAATGTAGATATTTAAGATACACATGGCAGCTATCTTGAAAAATGGCGGCCTCTGCATGTTATTTTACGATTTTTGCACTTAGACTACAGAATGGCCGCCATTTTTGTTTGGGATTTCCTACGCTTTGGCGTTGCTGTTAGTCAGTTAAAACGTCCAACAGAACCATTAACGATTAATCAGTATTTAGATGTTATGTCACTATTTAAGCATATATGGCCGAGGTTTTCAGTGATATATTGTCCGACCTTGGGAGGGAAATCGATCTCCGAGAACCGAGGAAATATGTGCCACGATAGTGATATAAACGATTTATTGAGAGAATCGTTTTTTTTTATCTAATTGACCAACAAAGGGTTTAAAAAACTAAAATTGATGGTCTGTTCCCGTCTCTGCGTTTAACATGCATTGCTACGCCCGATCAACTGAAGATAAAACTACGCGAGCAATTTTCTAAACAACTTTAAGGAAACGAACTTATCAATAAACACGATTAATAAATAAACTTATATAAAGTAATTGGAGATGGTTACTGAAATGAGTTTAGAAAAATTGCTCGCGTAGTTTTATCTTCAGTTGATCGGTATGTACACGTGTAATAGCACCAGCGCCTTGACCAATCAGAAAGTTAGCGGGCGCGGGCTTTTCCAAACTTATATTTTGCCCTTGTGAACACTTTATGCCAAACATCATCATAGGTATGTTATAATATTTGTTATGCACCATTAAAACGTTTGTGTGAGATGCCCCCACGCGGGCATGGATAGGGAATTTGCGAAAAAATGTTGGGCCTGTAAAATTCCTTACACTGAGGCCAAATGAACGTGTCAATTTCCCCACCCCAGGGGCAATAAATCTGGTCAGATATTCCCGACTCCTGGGCCCTCCCCCCGTATCCATTCCTTGTTACCAGGCAGGCTAATGCTCATGAATGTTGAGTGATACACATGCCGTAATTTGTTTGTCAATATCTTTTTTAATTAGGGATGCCATATATGGTCATAAGATGTGATCTAGTAGAATTGAGGATTTTAGCCTTGGACCCAGTGCACTGTGTGCTGAACCATCATGAAGATATTGTTTCCAAATCTTTGCATTACCGCTTATTTATTGAGCTGAATGAAGCAGTCAAAATGCACTGAGTCTTGGGCTTAAATTCCTTTCACACATTGCAAAATATTTCTACCATGTGAGTTAAAATATACAAAATCACAACATATATTTTCAAGGAAACTTTTTGCAAGGGCCGCTTGGCAAAGTATCAATTCCCTGATAGTTTTGACAAAAATGAGCCGTGAAGGGGCACGGTTGTACTATTGGTTCGTATCTGTGCAATAAAAGTTGGAATATTATATAAGTTATTCAATGATTCGAGTGAAATACAGAAAATATTCTTCCCGAGAAGGTTGTATTTCACGATGCGCTAGCAGAGTGAAATACAGACGCTCAAGGGAAGAATATTTTCTGTATTTCACGGGAAATCATACAAAACTCGCCCAAATCAAGTCCCTTGGCTTGGGGCCGGAGAAACAGATCTACCTTCTCACCTCAGAGATATTTCACATCGATATTCCTCCAAATCTTTATGGCCTTGTTGTTTGCTTTTAATTGTATTATACGAGACGTTTGAATTTCTTTCTTTTTTCTTCAATTTCATCAGCTGGAAGTGCAGTGAAGTGAAACGTTTTTTCGACTTTCGTCTGCCATATTGGATGTAATTAGTTCATGAAAACAATGTGTATCTTTTAAATTGATTTCTTATATTTACAAAATTGCGTTTTTATCCTAAAATTATTGATTGTGGTGATCACAGTGTAAGTTTCTGATGTTTGAATCAGATATTTATAGCAAAATTCAAAGATAAGCATGCGTTGGTGTAAAGTAATCGCCATTGATTTTTTCAGTAACAGTCATATCCTGGATGGAAATCTGGGGCGTTGGGATATTGAACCGTATCCCAACGGTGACGTCATTTTCACTCTGTATCGCACGCTAAGTGGAAAGTGCGATTAAATACAATACATATTTAAGTCACATGGACCAATTATGTTGCAGGGAATTTCTCCATCATGGAATAAAGCTGTATGTACGACCTTGTATCTGTGCAATAAAAGTTGGAATATTATATAAGTTATTCAATGATTCGAGTGAAATACAGAAAATATTCTTCCCGAGAAGGTTGTATTTCACGATGTGCTAGCAGAGTGAAATACAGACGTTCAAGGGAAGAATATTTTCTGTATTTCACGAGAAATCATACAAAACTCGCCCAAATCAAGTCTCTTGGCTTGGGGCCGGAGAAACAGATCAACCTTCTCACCTCAGAGATATTTTACATCCATATTCCTTCAAAATCTTTATGGCCTTGTTGTTTGCTTTTAATTGTATTATACGAGGCGTTTGAATTTCTTTCTTTTTTCTTCAATTTCATCAGCTGGAAGTGCAGTGAAGCGAAACGTTTTTTTCGACTTTCGTCTGCCATATTGGATTTTAATTAGTTCATGAAAACAATGTGTATGTTTTAAATTGATTTCTTATATTTACAAAATTGCGTTTTTATCCTAAAATTATTGATTGTGGTGATCACAGTGTAAGTTTCTGATGTTTGAATCAGATATTTATAGCAAAATTCAAAGATAAGCATGCGTTGGTGTAAAGTAATCGCCATTGATTTTTTCAGTAACAGTCATATCCTGGATGGAAATCCGGGGCGTTGGGATATTGAACCGTATCCCAACGGTGACGTCATTTTCACTCTGTATCCCACGCTAAGTGGAATGTGCGATTAAATACAATACATATTTAAGTCACATGGACCAATCAGGTTGCATGGAATTTCTCCATCATGGAATAAAGCTGTATGTACGACCATCTTTAACGGAATGAGCGCGCTTATAAATTGTTGAGTTTGACGGAAACAAATCACATAGTAAGCGTCGAAAGTGCTCTGTATTATAATTTATGCAATGACGTATTTTACGCCCCTATATAAGGCAGACCATATTTGCTTTTAACTTTAATTCGTTACATCGTTCACTTTTATTCATAGTCTACCAACTACTTTAAATTATGACAAGGCTATGAATACAAGTACAGCGCGGGGGTGCGACTTTTTTCGGAGGGAGGGTGAAAACAATCTCGACAAGCAAACACCGCTCAGTATCATTCTTAAATTCCTCTCTCCATGGGGTTTTACTCAGCAATATCACCTCCTGAAACTGTGTCCGACATGTAGGTGGGTGTATTGTACCGTTCTCGACTTGAGAGATTTTTAAGTCACTGAATTTACAGATCATTTGCAAATCATGAGTTCTTCAAGTGTAGCGGACGAAACAAATCCAGTCAAAAATATGGGGGTCTCTCGCAAACTTTTGAATGGTGCATTATTGATTTGTATTAGGGTGACAGTGGAGGACCTTTAGTTTGCGATAGTAAAAACGAAAAGCGTATTATTCTTGGAATAATGAGTTATGTAAACGATAGACACTGTTCTAGAGGATCAACGAGTGAAACAGTCCATACACCAGTACCAGATTACCTGCGATGGATCTTCAGCAACATGCTAGGTTGACTTTTTCATTTTGGAGCTGCACTTTCATAATTTTTATAATATACTCCTCAAAAGAAGTTAAGGACCAGTGGTTTTCCTCATAGGTTTACATGTTAACCCCCATATTTGTTTGAATGACTATTTTCTAAGCGTGGAACAAAATAAATCCAAATAAAGAAAATAAATCTGTATCTTACTTCTATTCCCTATAAAATCAGCAACATTTCAATGTTATATCTCCATTACATTGGTTCAAAATCTGATGACAAAATTGATGAATTTCATGAGATTTAACAAAAATGGCAGATCCCATGTTAAACAAATGGGGAATGGTTGGGTTACCATAAGTCATATGAGGAACGATCCATCCGATTGCTCTCAAAATTGAAATTGTAAGATATAATTAAATTTGCTAAATTGTCCACTCGACAAACATATGATTTAATTGTCCAGGCTTTACAAAAGTTAATGGTTTCAAATTAAATATTTTTTTCATGATCCTCTTATTGAAATAACACAGGTGGTTCAGTGAGGTGGTCGAAATTACTCTAACGCTCCATATCGCTAATTTTAATAACATAAGCGAGACATTTAGCATGTAAAATCATTCAATTTTCTACTTAGAAAGTATTTTTAACAAATGTTTTACTGAATAGATATTCCAAAATCTGAGTTGCCCCTAAGCCACAATTCCCTATTTGTTTAACATGGGATCTGTCATTTTTGTTTTTCATGAAACTCATCAATTTTGACATCAAATTTTGACCCAATGTAATGGAGATATAAAATTGAAACGTTGCAGACTTTATAGGGAATAGAATCAAGATACAGATTTATTTACTTTATTTGGATTTCTTTTGTTCCCCGCTTAGAAAATAGTTGTTCAAACAAATATTGGGGTTAACATGGAAACCCATTAGGAAAACCACTGGTCCTTAACTTTTTTCGATTATAGTTTAGACATGTATCTTATTAAATGAAATTGAGTGAAGTTAATTCAACAGATATTTGATACAAGATTTCACTTTAGGGTTTTCTGTTTTTATGCCACCACAAAAAAGTGGTGACATATTGTTATAGTCTCCCTTTTTTGACGGCGGTTGGCGATCGGCGATCGGCGGTTGGTGATCGGCTATAACAAATTCTGTAACTTTCTGTAACAAATTTTTACAACTTCAAATAACTTAACAAATACTGTTTAGACTGACTTCAATTTTTTCAAAATCTACATGTTCCCAGAAGTTCAAATCTGACTTTATATTTAAGTTTTGACCTTTAATGGGTCGAAAAAGGTCAAAGGTCAAAAGGATATTTTTTTCAACTTGCTTCAAATTGACCTTTTTTTCAAATCATCTACAAGTTATCAGAAGTTCAAATATGACTTTAGATTTGAGATTTGACTTTTAAAGACTGTTTTAAGGTTAAAAAAGGTCAAAAGGGTATTTTTTCAACTTGCTTCAAATTGACCATTTTTTTCAAATCATCTACAAGTTATCAGAAGTTCAAATATGACTTTCAAAATCATGTAAAAGTTATCAGAAGTTCAAATCTGACTTAAGATTTGAGATTTGACCTTCAATGACCTTCTCAAGGTCAACAATGATCAAAAAGGTATTTTTCAAATTGTTTCAAATTGACCCTTTTTTGAAAAACTCATCTACAAGTTATCAGAAGTTCAAATCTGACTTTAGATTTGAGATTTGACCTTTAATGACCTTCTCAAGGTCAAAAAAGTCAAAAAGGTATTTTTTCAACTTGCTTCAAATTGACCTTACTTTTGAAAAACCATCTACAAGTTATAAGAAGTTCAAATCTGACTTTAGATTTGAGATCTGACCTTCAATGACCTTCTCAAGGCCAAAAAAGGTCAAAAAGGTTATTTCTCAACTTGCTTCAAATTGACCAATTCTTTTTCTAAAACCATCTACAAGTTATCAGAAGTTTGAATTTGACTTTAGATTTGAGATTTGAACTTCAATGACATTCTCAAGGTTAAGAAGGTCAAAAAAGTCTTTTTTCATCTTGCTTCAAATTGACCAATTTTTTCCAAAGTCATCTTCAAGTTCTCAGAAGTTCAAATCTGACTTTAGATTTGAGATTCCACCTTCAATGACCTTCTCAAGGTCAAAAAGGGTCATTTCAAAACTTGCTTCAATTTTTTCAAAATCATCTAAAAGTTCTAAGAAATTCAAATCTGACTAAAATTGATACTATTGTGAGCAACAAGGTGGTGCCATTTTGTCATGTTAATGCCTTGTTTTGTGCTATCCTACAGCAGAGATGAAACAAGCAAGGCATTTGAAAAGCGAATATTTGCAATGTAGAGTTTTATATTACGTGAGACAACCTTATTCGTATTCCGAAAATAATCTGAAATCGATGTTTACTCTTTAATTATCATTCATAATTATCAACTTTTAGATAGAAATGAATGGAGCGACTGGAGCGATTGTCCTGTCGTTTGCTCAGAATGTTTGTCAGGGGGAAATTGTCTTGTCGGTAGAATATCAAGAAGTACGGGCTGTAACTTCGGATACCATGGCCATTTTAGGACAGCCGCAGTTCTGTATCAGAGATTTAAGGATGTTTGTATATTTAGAGAAAAAATACCATGCAGTTGTAACAGTAAGTACGTTAAGTTGGATTGTAGGGGGATAATATTTATATGCAGAGTGGGCAAATAAAAAGGATCTGATTATCAGTCCCGATTCCACTAACTTTCAGACACAGTACGTGATAAAGAGACCTCAAATATTTTGTTACGTAATTTTATAGGGGTGTTCGGGATAGTTGCATGTAGAAATTTTTCATCCCGTATTAGCTCTTTGTCGAGCACTTGGTCGCAGGGGCTCACTTTTCAAAACACAGTATCCCGTCATTCTGCTTTCAAAAACGATGGGATAAAATGATTTGGTAATTTGGAACGTGAGTTATCCCAGCTCATGGTAATAATTTTCGCTGTGGGATAAAACGATTTCAAAACCAGACCAATGCCTGATCAAAGTATATGCTATCAAGTCATCACACATCTCTATGACCATACCATTTGTGTATTTTGTATGTACTAAATATTGAATAAAGAAGAATAAAATAAAACATAGTAATAATAAGATAATCATAATTAATTAATTAATCTATCTAATTAATTATAATAAAATAAAAATAAAAATAATACTATCATACTGCCCATCATGTCTTGAAAAATGTTTTCATCGAATCGACTCACCCTTTGCATTCATTTGACTTTGCTTCTTCGTCTTCAGACTCTCGGCGCATGCTTAGACTCGCTTAAATATTGGAATCTTTGATGTGTTGCGCGCACACGGCAATTCTGTACCACTGGAATGATTGATATACTATAGCAATAGCGACGACATTAACCTTTAATGAGGACGAGGACGAAGATGTTGTTAATGTCTGACATTTTGACTGGTCTTAAATTCATTATAGCAATTCAAAACATTTGAACTTATATCTTGATCACCTTTAGTATGTTGTGAATTTTTTCTGATTGGTTATAGGACCAAAACTCGCGATTCAAATTCGGAAGAGTAAAAATGGCCGCTATCAGTTTTGAATTTTGTTATCACGGCACGACTGGTAAATGGCAGTAAAACGAGATGGAATATATAATAAATAAATCAGCTAGACAAATCGTGTTCACATCGTTTACGTTTGTCAACAGTTACTGATACTGGGTGTCCAGTTATATATTCGCCAACACACGGATGGTTAAGACGATCTACTAATGATTCGTCAGTAATAGTGGTGACATGTAGGGAAGGTTATGAAATTGTTGGTTCGCGGAATCAAATCCAATGTCAAGACAATGGTCAATGGTCAGCGAGAGTTCCAGAGTGTACAAGTATGTATTTTTGTTCTACATCTCGACAAATTGTTATTGTTCATAAAAATCAATTTCGCTAAAATGTATTGATATCACCCTAGACTACAGCTAGTTCTACAAGAAAATTCAAATTCTCTTCAGAGTCCACGTCTTATTTAAAAGTTATTAAAAGCCACCAAAAATTCACCCAAAAATAGTAATCGGTGTGGAAACGCCTTAATCACTTTGTTTTTAATTGTAGTCAAGGAGTGTCCGTATATTGAACCTCCTATGAATGGCCGCATCGAAGGTAAACGTACGTACAAATCAATTATGACCATTTCATGTAAAGCTGGCTATGAACTCATCAACGGGAAAAGTGAAAAGGAATGTTTGTCGGATGGCACATGGTCCTCACTAGACAGTCCTGTTTGTGGTATGTACGAGTCACATTCTCTTCACAGGTTTCTTAAAAAAACTACTTGATACCTTTGATTTCATTCAAGTTCCTGAATATTTGTGCAAATCAAACAACAGAAATATGATGATTACCATTTCCAATATTTAGATAAAAATTCTACCCTCCCATATTTTCCAATCACACTAATTCGATTTATTTGCCGTTGCAAGGTGGTTACAAGGCAAAATCATGGATCGAAATGATATTGAAATACTCCTAACTCATTTTGCTATTGCCTTACTGAATCACTGATTGATATTTGTAGTACATCTTAAAATATAAATGCTAGAGACAAAATCAAGTTGAATTGAAAAGTCGCAAGGATGGGTCCACGTACATTTCTTTTGATGGCGCTGTACGAATAACTTGTATCGTGGTATTCTGGTTTGGATTATGTGTGATGCGTGAAAAGTGTTTTAATATTTCACAATAAAAGTATTAATCGATGTTCATTCACTTTGTATACGATCTGTTGCAGCTGATATTAACAGAGAGACGTGTAATAACAAGGCAACTAAATTTCCTAATAAAACATGTAACAAAAAATATGAATTGGAATGTCCAAATACATTTGCCTGTAACAAAAAGGAATTCAGTTGTTGCCAAGTAGACATACCGCAGTGTTCACCACTTATGAAACCGAATGGTATCGAACCAGAAAAATGCAGAGGTGGAAGAAGCGTAACGTGTCCCAAAGGCTACAGATGCCATATTGCATCTGACAATACATATTCGATATGCTGTTTGAATATCACATGTGTTGATAGCAAAGAGGGAATCCACGACTATGGTTTTAAGCCATGGCGCAGCTTATATGACAAATGCAATATGTGTACGTGTGAAAAGAATGGCCAAACGGTGTGTACCGATAAAAAAGGTAAGTGTCTACCAATATACGACTTACTGTGATCAGAAGGGAAAGACGATTTTAGTACTAGTCTTGGCGGAGGGGAGGGACGGAGTAAATGAGATAGTTGAATCAAGTGATTTTAGCAAACGTTAACAACTCATTAAATATATGCCCAATTGTATGGCTATTCAAGATGGCTTTTAATCTAATCGTATACATTGTTTACGTTTATTATGTAGAATGCAGAGAGTGTAATCTTGAAGGATACGGTCTACAAAAAAGAGGTTTTGGATACTGGAATGGATGCTGGCAATGTATATGTATATCACCAAATAAACGAATCTGTACTAGTCCATGTGATAGAGGCCATAGAGGTAACAATGATATTATTTACTGGAAATCGTCAGGAAATGCACGATTTTTGTTCCAATTTGTTGACACTGACGTCTAATGTTTTCTAGAGTGGTTATGTTCTTTAACCTTAATGTCTGCAACGTTTTATAACCCTAAGTCGCAAAGGGGATTGTGATCATTTGGTTCCCCTCTGTTATTTTTTATTACATGTGTGATTTCAATAATGCTAGTATTGTCGCAAATCGTATGTCTTATGTAATTACCTCTTCAGAGAAAAATTTTAAAAGTAGGTCAACAAAGGTCAAATCGAGGTCAACGTGACCCAAAGGGTGTACATTTTACATTTTGGGATAAATTGTCAATTTTTTCAAAATAATTTTTTAGTTCCAAAATGACACTTTTTGAGCATACATATGTCAATTGGTATTAAGTAAAGCGAGCAGGGTGTCCTAAAAACAGGACCGTAAGAAATCGGTCAATTTTGCATATTTTGCCTCGAAATTTTAGAATTATTTAGTTTATTCTGTGAATTTTGTTGTGGAAGTTTGATGATAATCTGTCAATTGTGTCAAAAGCTACAGTACTTTACAAAATAAGCCCAAAGTGGGACTTTTCCTCTCTATACGCGAACGAATACTGTGAACAAAGTTGTTAATGACCCTATCCTATACATATCAATGTATCAATGTGGTATTGGCTTGTCGAAACCACTGTTTATCTCCTTAGATGTCCCTTCTGGGGCTTAGTGAACTCCAAAACTTAGCGAGAACTTACTGGTCCTTGTTCATGGTGAAAGAACGTCCCCAGTCACCTTTGAATCAAAAAGACCGATGATTCCATTTTTCGTCATTGCCACCCAGGCAATGCATTGTTCAGAATGCAATGAATGCTGTAACATTTCATCAGGAGGATGTAAGCCCCAGTTTCAATTGTTCTTGGAATAAACTTCTCCATTCAGAAAAATATGTGTGGAGGAAGATCATCAACAACTTTGTTCGTCGGATTGAATTGTGCATAGAGAGGAGAGGTGCACATTTTGGGCATGCTTTGTAAGGAACTGTAGATTTTGACTCAACTGGGAGATTATTATCAAACTTTTACAACGAAATTCACATCGAAAGAACTAAATAATTCTGAAATTTCAAGGCAAAACATGCAAAATTGTCCGAGTTATTTAACTTTCTTACGGTCCTGTTTTTTGGACACCCTGTAATAACTGCAACATATACTTTCATATTTTTAATCCTGTAACGATTGTCATTTGTAGGGGACCTTAGTGCCGTATCATCATGTTCTGGAGGATGCAGTGTACAGGCCAGCGTGCGTCAATGTATTGATGTTGACGAACACAATGCTACATGTATGCTGCACGAGTTAGAATATAATACGTGTAGACCAGATTCGTGTCCACATCCAGGCATACGGATAAAAGAAGATGTACCAATAATCATCGGGGGACTTAAGGTTAAGCCTCCCTATAATTGGAGATGGATGGTCTCCATCGATAGTATTGAAGGTCACTGTGGCGGGACAGTTTTATCTCCGTCACACATTTTAACTGCAGCGCATTGTTTTGTTAGGAGTCATGGAGGAAGCTGTCAGAGCTGCCAAGTCAGAGCTGGGATACATGATCTTAGGGACAAAGGAGATCAAACGCGTCATGTAAGGGAAGTGATAAGACATGATGAATTCGACCCCATTAGTTTAGATAATGACATTGCCATACTGGTTTTATATCGTAGACTAGATTATAACGACATAATCACACCAATTGTTTTACCGACAAAAAGAGCACCTCCGCCTGCAAAAGAACAGTGCTACGCCATCGGATGGGGTATAGCATCGAAGAAATCTATAAAGCACCAGGCGGTATTCTATATTAATGGATCAAATATTTTACGAGAAGTCAAGATTCCTTATCGGCAAACATGTGAGTTTGATCTCGACGCTGATAGGAAAAAGATTACGGATAACATGATATGTGCACATGACAATGACAAGTAAGACAAATTTGAGAATCTCATTAGTTTGTCGCATTTATTATATCATTTTTGTTGGGATGCGTTGCTAAGGTAACGTACTTCTTGACTCCTATATTCAGTAGTTAGCTATATAGGCTCTATCAGAGACCTGGAGGTGGACGCTATACGACATGTGTTTATTTACTGGGAGTGGCTGTGTATTTCAAGAATTGTACGAAGATAATTCTTTTTTGAACTCCCTGTAAACAGCTTATTACAACATGAGCTTTTTACACGTTTTTTAAAAACTAATACGTGGACGTGTAGAATTATGGTCTTTTGTGGATTAGTTATCCCATTTGTACTGTTTACTTTCCCGATTGAGTATAAAGGAATACGGAAAATGATTGTAATTACGTCCCTGTAAAATTGGCAGGTTGATTATAACAGTATAGTGAAAATAACTGGAATTCGATTTCTGGAAAAGTGAGCTCAAAGCGGGACAGTAATCCTCGGGGTCGAAATATTACATGCTCACGTACAGGCTCTTTAAAAACGTTAACATTCACCTCCCTTATGTGCGACCGACTCTCTTCCATGAAAAGTTGCAAGATGTCATAAAATCATATATTTTTCTAGATATTGTCCAGACATTGTTGAATATTGGATTTCTCAAATGATGAAGTCCATTTGTGAAGGCAGGTCCGAAGCTTGATGAAGCAAGATGACAAAATCATGTTTTTAATTGATTCTTGTTGACCATGCCTGTAATTGTATCTAATTTTGTTGTATAGGTACCTAATGTAGTAACTAAACAGTTTTCACACATAGCTAGGCAATTTGTGTCCAATTTCAGTCAATCAGAACACGCTATTTTATACAACTGCATTGTGCACTGTTAAGCACTTTGGGTACGGGATAACATGTACAATAGAAATATAATAGCAGATTTTGAAGGAAATACCATCATTTTCACAAAATATGAAGACAATTTGTCCATTTGTACAAGAACTCTGTTAATTTCCTGAACCGATGGACGAATGAATGGATGGCAAACTGTTAAAGGTATAGAGCTACGGTTTTTATTTTATTCAAATGAAACAATAAAAGGGGAGGGGGAAATGAGGAAATTATATTAATTTCTAATTCTAACATAATAATCGATATACTTATAGAGACACTTGTTTTGGAGATTCTGGTGGGCCATATATGTGCAGGAAAGAAAATAGCAACGTTTGGGTTCAGTATGGCATTACAAGTTGGGGCCCTGCAATGTCCTGTGGTGAACAATCTGGTGTGTATACTAATGTTTCGAACTACATTGACTGGATCCAAGATAAAATCACGACACCTGGTGGTTGGGGTGAGTTTAGTGACTTTACAGAATGTTCGTTAAGCTGTGGCAATATCGGAAATGGAACAAGATCGCGAGTCCGTGTGTGTAACAATCCTGCGCCAATAGGAAAGGGCACTTGTAATGGGGCTCTTGGGATAAAACAAAAAGACGAAGCTACTGGATATATAGTCGATATACACAAAGAAGAATGTGAATCAGTTCCCTGCAAAGATGTTGAAGGAGGTTGGAGTGATTTTTCCGAGTTTACACAATGTTCAGTAAGTTGTGGCAATGGAACAAAACGTCGCCAGAGGTATTGCAACAGCCCAAAACCTTTGGGTAATGGTGTTTGTCCACACGCTAGAGGGACAGTGCACGAAGCCAATTGGTTATTGGTTGATGTGGAAACAATTACATGTATTGTTGAGTCATGCAACAAGTGGACTGATTCTAGATATAGATGTGTTGACAGAGATGGAGATAACTGTGAGATATTGCGAAAAAGAATTTGTTTTGAACCAAAAGACGGCTGCACTGGAGATTTTGACTATGATGGCTTTTTTTATTATGAAGAAGAATCACATGTTATAAGTACACCTTGTAATCAAGACAGAACGTGTCAGCGCTAGACAAGGCACCATTGGTGTAAAGGATGGTGATCCGTACACAACAAACATATATCGTACCTTAGGGTGCTGGTCTTGTCCAATTGGAACTATTTTATCCAGATTTTAGTTGCATATAACCAGGAGTATTTGAAATGATACGTTTCCATAGATACGGATAAACGGATATGGTGTCATCAATACATTACATTCTAAACAAGTAGATGCTAATAAACAATTTTAAGGGACACACTAGCCTTTATTTTGGAATATCTATATAATACATTTATCTTTGGAAAATTCCAAATTTCAGGATAAAATTCAAAATGACGAGTTACAATGGTAATGATAATAGTCATGCCTGAAACATTGGTATCAGTTTGACATTTTTTACATTCATTCAGAGAGTCAAGTTAAATATTATGTAAACATTATTGCAATTCATATTTCCGATAGAAATTAAAGCATTGGGGTGTGTTGAGACCAATGAGGATTTATTAGATGGTTTGTTTCAACATCAAGATAATCGGAACTGGTAGGCAAAATTCTGGATGAAAAATTATGACAAAATGACAATGAGAAAGAAATTCTTTAGCATGTGGGCTTAAGTTAGCACTATACTGATCTTCTTTGCAAATAATAAAATCTTAGAATAGCTTTTCCAGAGCAGGCAGATTTTCCCAAATCACCTTTTTCTTGATTCTGAATCAGTTGTCCCTCATCTTACTTATTTTTGCATTACACTTCCAATATATTCCATTTTAGTCTGTAAATCATTTCACAATACAATTAACACCCAACTCCATGTGTTTCTCTAACAGTCAGAATAATATGAAGATCTTGTACTTTAATTTGAGACATGTCTAATATCAGTGTAAATCGTTCTTTTGAATTTCAACCTGAATTTTTTCAAATTGACCCCTTATGTGTGTTTACCCTTATTATTCAAGAACTACATGAGATTTATGTATCCCACTTCAGGAACAGTTGGTAAATAACAGGATCTTAAGAGGTTCTGGACAAATCATTTGATTCTGGACTTGTCATATTTTTTTTTCAACGAAATCACATCCAATGGTTGAATTTTTATTAGCTATTTAGAGAGTGAGTCCTGCCTAGTATTAATTTCAATAAAAAAGTTAAAATAGAACCCTATTTGAGAGTCAATCTAATACTTACATTACATTGATAAATTAAGGCAAATCCTGAAATATTTTTAAAGTGCGTTTTTTAATGAAATATTATCCAGCAAGTATTTAAATGAAACGGTCTTATTTAAATACAAATCATAACATGATATTTTTCATGAAACATTTTTCAATGAAATTCAATTGAAGGGTCAAGATAAAACGAGCTAATTTAGGTGAAAACCCTTACATGATGATGTGTTTTCATAACTTCTTTCATAAAATTCCATCAAGGGGTGAAGATAAAATGATCGAATTTAAGTGATTTAAGGATCACGAGAATATGTTTTCTTTGATATTTTCTATGAAATCCCATCCAATGGTCAAGGTAAAATTTTGATTTTGATTTGGTCACGTGTTCGAAAGATCCATATAAGGCCCATAGAACCATATAGGAACGTCATTTTGAATGTCACATGATAGATCCATATAAGGTTTTTAGAACCATTTATGGAAAGATGAGGGAAGCCCCTGACACCTGTTTCACGATTTTTATGCACTTCATTATTGTACCGAAGTTTGCCGATTCGATTCGTCGTATTTCGGAATCCTGGTGACAATTTTATACTCCATTGGAGTATTTTTGACCTACTTCTTATGACGGAAATTCCCGAACCTTGTTCGGATTAATCCGGATTTTCTGACCTACCTTATCTACCGAGATTTCACGAGTTAACATTCGTCTCATTCCGGAATCCTGGTGACAATTTTATACTCCATTGGAGTATTTTTGATCTACTTTTTCTGGATTTTGCCCTACTTATTATATCTTGACAACAAGCAAATCAAAAAGTTCGACATGAACGGGTCTCGATCAACTAACCTAGACTATGGAAGCCAGGCACGCTAACCATTTGGCCAACGAGCTACCGATATGAAAGAACAAAAGCATTATATATTTATACCGAGCGTCAATTCAAAATGATCCTCACTTTTGTCTCCACTTAAATACGACTCGTCAGTTGTATCCAGAATAGTAGAACGCCTATGGCGCTAGTGAATAACCAAGTCCCAGGTGAGTGGTTCGTATCCCTCCGTGATATACTATTTTTGTTTTATTAAATACGACAGAAAGGAGCAAGGTGTAGGTTGAAAACAAGACGTTAGTTTGTTTCAAAACAGTTTGGAAACATTAATCTCTGATAATTTAAGGTTTTCCACTCCTGAAGGGCCTCTAGATCTATGAAATTCAATAATCCACTCAGTAAAAATACGATTTCTCTGCAACCTGATGTCCAATCAAGATCATTCAAATATATATGTGTTCCTGACACGTTTGGGCGTCCGGGAATAAAATTGCTTGTGAAAACTATTTACAAAAGTGTTCCAGAGACCCTTATCTACTTGGCTAAGGTTTTATTTGAAGATACATTGCCTTATTAGCAGGTAGAGGGGCATACAGAACACAGAAGCAAATGCTATGTTGAAAATTTTCTATATTTCAATTTGAACCTGTGTTTACATGTCACGTAGGCCAGTGTTTTATATGGGGATTATATGTACTTTCCTTGTTTACATGAACGTAAATCATTACATGAAATCTGCATTCTTCTGGGTTTAATCTGGGTTTGTATTGTCTTATGTGGGCTTTTCGACTTTAAAACAAACCCTACCTAAATGGATTGTGTCTCGGGAACGTTTTTGTAAATAGTTATTATAAACAATTCTGAAAGAATATCACATATTTTTGTCTTCCCGATTTCAGTCATGAATTACGTCAATTTCTCGTGCAAACATTGGGTTGACGTTGTCATAACCGGATGCCCGAACGTGTCAGGAACATATAGATACTCGAATGATGTTGATTGAACATCAGGGTTGAGAGAAATCGTAATTTTACTGAGTGGCTTCACGAAAAAATAAGCAGCACTTTAGGCAACCTAAATACAACTCGTCAGTTGTATCCAGTTGGAATCCCAGCGTAATGTTTTTAATTATATGGTTGTGCTTTGATTTTACGCTGAAAACATTTATAACTACGTCAACTTTATATTAAAACATTTATTATCTTTTCAGTTGTATTAAAATGTAAAATATGATATATGTCAGCTTATTGCTTTCTGGAGAACAGTCAAGGTTTAAATTTGGTACAATGAATCGGACACTCATGTAAATCGACATGGTTATAACATTGAACTCAATGCAGTAAATTAGTTATTTCTATGAATCACAGCGGGATTGGTTTCATTTTATATGATTGCCAACTCTGGCGGTTTTTTTGTAAATGCTTTTGACCGCTGTAAATGTGAAACTGATACAGTATTATTCAATTGTTTTATGTCTTGGTCACATTTGCTCCGATTTTCACTACGGCGCCCGGCCGATTGAGTATTGTGTTCAGAAATGTATTCAATTTTGAACAAAATACTCGCAGCAAATGTGATCCAGGCATTACACAGCGGTATTTCGAACATACTATTGTTGCTTAACCACGACCTAGCCAATTTTAAAATCATACTCCTTATTTAAATCCAAGTAAACGATCAATGTCTAGGTATTTGGCGTTTGATGATACTATGGCCCTTGGCGAATTATGATTAGATGAACCGAGGTCAACATTAATGTTTCTTGTACAAGGTCATCCCAAGGTCTAAGATAAATATTTAGGTATTTTACGTTTCAAGACCTTTGGACAAATTCGATTCAACGATGTATTAAAGTTAAAATGTATACAGAGATAAAATAGGTTATCTCCTATCGTTTCCTTGTGTATACGTTTATGTCTCTGCGTAATAACGCAGATGCGAGCAGGTAGTTACCAATCTCACCACAAGGTGGCTCGTTCGGGTCAGATAGCATGGCGGGTATGGTAGAAAGTTCCCTTTAACTTAAAGTACATCTGTTTTCGTGGTTCAATTTTCATATCACCCTTAAAATGTATCTAATAGCAATGCAATTAAAATATGTCCAGTGAACGAAAATGCAATACAAGAATAGATATTTCACTTTTTGTGATTTTGTAACAATGGTGTTATTTTTTGTATATGTAACATGGTCATTTTCACATTTTATATTATTACTGTTCATATTAATCAATCCCTATTCATCTCAATATAACAGGTCCCTAAGTAGGTTGTTTGCAGTTTTACTCTTTCAATACCATGTTCACTTTTCACCTTGAGTTATTCAACTATGCAAACTGTGTCAGTTTTATATATCTATTGTTCCCCTATATGGTCTTTCTCAATCACATGTAGCTGAGTTTGCATTGGGTGTTGGCTTGTCAGTAGTTGCTGTAAGAGTTCATGTTGTACATTACAGAGCATTGTATTTTAAACATTGAAGTTTGAAATATACTATTTTATATATATTTTAATTTGAAGTTCGAGTTATTTTATTGCCACCCACGGGCCTTCCACACGCCCATTTACATATAACGCTTTGAAACAACTTTAAAAAGTGAGCAATGTCAGTGTTGTGATAATAGAGAATTTTCGTTATAAGTTGTTTCAAAAACTTATACGTATACTTATAGTTTAAAGGGTCTTGTCGAACTAAAATCAATTCAAATTGATTTTCATAATCTGTACCAAGTGGGGCATAACTATTCCCGATATAGTCAAGCTTCATCATCAACTAGGGACTGCGAATACAATGTCCTTTGCTAGTGTCAATTATGAACACGATAAACTTAATTCTAGTTGACG